GGGGAGTTTATTTTATTTTATTTTTTTTAATATTATTACTAAGGAATGAGAAAATATTTGAAACTATTACAATAATTTAAAGGGGAATCATAAGTAGAAAGTAGAAATCCAACACTATATCCACTAAGATATTGGATCACTTGTTATTTGGGGAGTGCTAGCAACATTTGTTGTTAGACGTTTTCACTTGTTCAAATGACACATGTCATTTTATTACACAAAAAACAAGATTTTAACTATAATGAATATACAAATGTGGGAACGTTTTCAGAGCATACAACTAATCAAGAATATTGTAGAAGAAATATTATGAATAGGTATGAACAAAGGAATGGGTCCAACACCGAGAAGACTCGAATATATCAATGGGGGAGTGCCTTGAGGCCAGGATTGTACACCTTGATTCTAAGTCCTAAAGGTGGTGCAAAACAAAGCATGAGTGAACCAAGTTTATATATTAGTAATACTAAAACAATTATTCTTCAATGTACTAACCCCCAGTTTAGAAAACTCATATAGCCTAAGTAGTAATAGGTTTTTCGAAAACCCTAGCATGCCACAAAACCTTCATAAAACATATATTGTATATAGCGTGCTTAGTAGTGGTATCACAATCGCCCAAAGGCCCTACATCGCCCGCTCGAAGGCCCTTCATCAATCGCCCGAAAGCATATATAAATCTTCCTCCCGTAGGCCCTACATCACCTGCCCGAAGGCATATATAAATCTTCATTCGCCCGAAGACCTTTCATCACCTGCCCGTCTACCCTACATCACCTGCCCCGAAGGCATATATAAGTATCATTCGCCCGAAGGCCCCACATCACCTACCTGAAGGCATATATAAGTATCATTTGTCCGAAAGCCTTACATCATCTGCCTGAAGGCATATATAAGTATCATTCTCCACTAAGTAAGCACAGAAAATCATGAACATAATCTTTCCAAAATATATCTCATTGGAGCTTAATAACTCAAACATCATATCATAAATCCATGTTCATAAATATCTCAGTAAACATAAATTTGATAAAGCATGATATTTCATAAAGCGTAAATCTGATTTACTCATAAATGTTTCATAAAACATAGTCATAAAATCATGCTTTTTCATGTATGCATTTCTAGTATTTAAATCATGGATTTTGGAAGGGGTCCATTCACAGATACTTCGTCGTCAAATAGCCGTGCAAACTAGAGACGACGAGGTCGTCACAACAAACACACCTAAGCACATAAATGGACCAATTAATAAAACTATACTAAAATGATTAAATTTGGGAAAACGAACGTCGTAAACAGATTCAAGACGTCGAATAACCTAAGGGGAAACCTAGGGTTCACCTACGTGCTGCTGCATGTGCTGCCACGGGATGGCGGCTTGGAAGGCCACGCGCTATCGTACAGGCCGCCAAATATGTGCTCCACGTGATGGCTATGACAGCCCTTCACGCGCATCCACGTACAGCCCACGCGTCGACCTTTGACAATTGGGTATCGGGCCTGGGTCGGGTCGGATCTGGGTTGCAGGTCAACCCGGTTTCAGGCCGTGGATCGCTCGGAATCTTGGCAGAGGTTCTAGAGCTCCATTCAAGCTCATTTTTTCACCATTTTTTTGACATTCTAGCTATGGAAATGAAGCTTAGAATGAGAAGAAGAGTTTCATACCAATTTGGAGATGTGTCATCGTCGAAGTTAGTTGGAAAACGACTTGCAAGTCATAGTATCCCTTGCTGAAAACTGGGTTTAGGATCCTCGCGTCACTTCTGCATGTAACAAGTGAAAACAATTTAAAACCTACCTTAATCTAACCCTAAAATGCACTCGAAAGGGTTCTACGGACTTACTAACGTTAGGAGTGGCGAGACATCGTCGTGGGTTTATCGGGGAGGAAGGTGAACAATGGTTTCTGCCACTGTTGAGTGCTACGACCTTGGCTTGGGTTCGAGATCTTGATGTTAAGGTGGTGGTGATGGTGGTTCGCTGGCGTTGTTTGTTTGTTCATAAGGGTCAATGCCTCAAGGAGGAGAGGACCGTGCAGAAGTAAGAGAGAACAAAAAGAAGAGAGAGTTAACAGAGGGAGAGATAAGAGAAACCTGAGGGAAGAGAGTCACAGGGAGAGGGAAGAATGAGAAAGGGCCAATAGACCAAAACAAATTGGTGGGGCCCTCTGGCACACCAAACAAGATCCACCAAAGGCAAAATTCAAAATAAATATCCTAACCGAAGTAACAAAATTGCCCTCAACTTTCTGTGTTTTCGTAAAATCCGAGACGGGTCAGGAGAACACATGAATGTCTTTTAATCTTATTTGTCATATTTGATCTCCAAAGGTCTAACGCGTTTTTGTCAACATTGCATCTATATTATCTATAAATTTCATCTTATTATCTTGTACCATGTTTGTAGGATACTCTGAGAATTTATCTCGCAGTTTATGGTGTCTAGTCACATATACATATAAAACAATATTTTGTTGACCAATTTGCGAATCCAGGATTTTAACATCGGCTGGTCCTAATATAAAAGTTACAAAAAAAAAAAAATTAGACGAATATAACACTGAAAAATTAAATGATTATAATATCGTTTCATACTTCTAATTTCTACAAATATCAATTAATCAAAACAAAAAAACCATAACAATTCATGAAGCTAAAATATATATATATATATATATATATATGAACTAACCAACACATGATCCAATCAATATAAAAAAAAATCATAACAAATTAACAATAACTATAATATATTATGAATTTAACATTCTACATGGTTAATTTAGACTAAAATAGAAAACTTATTTAAATTTAGAAATTAGGAGATTAAGTAATTGTGGAGAAAAGTGAACCAGGTGGTGGTCGTGGAGAAGAGACAGGTGGTGGTTATGAAGAGGACATTGGTGGCGGCCTGGAGATCGTTTGGGAATAGCCAATTAGCCAATTAGGGGATTAAGTGGCCGTGGAGAAAAGTGAACCAGGTGGTGGTCGTAAAGAGGAGACAGGTGGTGGTTGTGGAGAGGAGACTGATGGTGGTCTTGGGGATGGCTTGGATGAGAATAGCCAATTAGCCAATTAAGGAACCTTGAGAGAAGTGAACCAGGTCGTGAAGAGGAGACATGTGGTGGTTGTGTAGTGGAGACTAGTGGTGGCTTACGGATCGCTTGGATGGGAATAGCTAGTTAGCCAATTAGGACAGTGAATGAAATGGGATTGGGTGAAGAGAAGTCTTAAGGTCTAGGGCAGATGAGTGAATGAAACGGGATTGGGTGAAGTGAGATCTAGAGATTCGGGCATCTCACATGCTTAATAAAAAGGTTGGGGTTTTACTTTATTTTTAAATGGTTTGGCTTAAAAAAACATTGATTTGGCCAAGTTACGTGGTTAATAAGAAGGTTAGGTTTTTATTTATTTTTCAAATGCTTGGCTTAAAACAACATTGTTTTGCCATAGTCATTAAAAAAAAAAAAAAGTAGCCTTCTTCTCCTTCTAGTTTGCAAAATCCGCAGTACAGCTATTGCTGCTTTCTCCTCCACTACATGCCCAGACTTGGGTGGTTCCTCACAACTACTTATCCGAGCTTCCGAATGATCTCGGGACCATCTAAGTTTATTACTATACCCTCATTATGGACACTCTAATAAAGTTATTATGCACTTTTGTGTATAAAATCATATAAGAAAGAAATTACACTCGAAGTAGTGCAAACTAATTTTTTCCGGAGCACCAACATAAATTGCGAATAAATAATGTAATAAGTGTATAGAAATCTTTATTTGGTTTTTCCACATGGACTTTCCTTTTCTTCTTTTTTTATCATGCTACGTATAAATATCACACTTATCTTTAATTTCTTTAATGGTACGTTTACGGAAAAATAAATTTAGTTGCAAAAGTATGAAGTAAAGTGATATTTACGTACTGGGGCGTTTTGATAAATAAGCTTATATAATAACAAAAAACAAGACATACGTTTTTTTATTAATTAATACTTGAAGAGCAAAATTATGATATATATACACACACGAAATTATATAAATAAAATTATGTTAAATATATATATATACAAAAACATGAAAAAATATATAATTTTTTCTATTTTTACCTTAAAGAAGAAGAGGTTGTTCTTCGTTTCATTCCCCAGTGTCGCTGAAAGCTCTATCTCTCTCTCCTCCCCTCTCTCTCTCTCCTCTCGCGCAAACAAAACCAACAAAACCCTATTGTTTCAGACTCTCACAGCACTCTAACCCCATTCTCCGTTTTTGTCCCCCAATCCCCTCCTCCCTCTCCAACTCTGCTGCGCTACCCCCCCTCCGCCGCTCTCCCTCTCTCTCCACCGCAACTCTGAAACTCTCTCTCTCTCTCTCTGGGCTCTGAAACGCATTGTTTTCAAGAGAGAGAATATATTGGGGGCGGTTATTAAAACGGTTACGTTGTGGTTTAATCGCCAATCACTGCGCGGGTCTAGGGTTAGTTCTCTCTCCCCTCTCTGAATTTTTCGTATCGCTTTGGTGGAATAATTTGGGGCCTTTGCAAATCCTAGGTCTTTTGGGAGTTCCATAGAAACAGAGAAGATGTATAAATATGACATATAATATGTGCTAGGGTTTCTATTTCAGCGCATTTACTCGGCGTTCAGTCCCAAATTTTAGGGTTTCTTTTTATCGTCTCTGTGAGATTGAAGAGTTGGATGGGTGTGAATTTTCTTGTGAGAATCGTGGGTTGTTGTTATTCATTGTTGCCATAGTGAACAAATCCATACCCAATTGCTTCTATCTTTATTGGGCTTGAAGATGAGGGTCTGCTGAGATTGCAATTCCTTTCTGCAAATCCATCTTTCAATTGGAGATGGAGGCGTAGACAGTTTTTTCCCCTTTATCTTCTTTGCGTTCAGTGGTGTTCGATTCCATCGTGTTGCAATTCGGGACATGCACCTTGTTCTTGGCATTGCCCTTGTTTTTGTGCTCTGGGTACACGCCTGGGTTAGAATCTTTTTCTTTTCCTAGGTCCCATAGTGTTGGTAGATTGTCGAATATACCCATTCAGTCCGTAGGATCGTAGCAATATCAGAGACTTTTTACTTGATTAACTGGCAGTGGCTGGAAAGCAGGATTGCTTATTTAGGGGAAAGGAAACTTGGACCTTGGCTCTTCTATATTGAAGAGTACCTTCTGGGTACCCAACTTGTGGATATTTTCATCTTTCATAAGTTTGACGGAGGCAATTTTAGTTGTGATAGATTGGGATAAAGCAATTGGCACTTATTGTTTCGAGGAGTACAATCTGAGTTGTGGTAGTCACTTGCTTATCGTGGTTGATTGTGAAGCAAGATTGGCTGTTGAAGTGGAAGAGAGAAATAGTTTTGTTCAAACTCGGTATATCTTTGTCGAAATATAATAAGTTTGGGGTAAGGGCAAGAGGTGGTGGAGAAGGTGAGAAGTGTTTCTGTTGTTATAGCTGATCATGTTCACTGCTCCTTATGGAAAGAAGTGAACCCACCTTAGTTCCAGAATGGTTGAGAGGTACAGGAAGTGTTACTGGGGGTGGCAGTTCAGCCCACCATTTTGCATCATCTTCTTCTCACTCAGGTACTTTTTCGCTATCCAAGTTGTATGGTCTCAATGTCTTTCTTTTGATTTTTCATACACATGCATGCACACACATACATATTGCAGAGGCTTCTATTACAATGGAACTTTCGGGTACATCATTTGACTTGGATTATGTTTGTAACTCTTATACAGAGGTTTCTTCTTTGGCTAATCATCTGAGAAATAGAACCTCAAAGAGCATAAGTGATTTTGATACACCGCGCTCTGCTTTCCTGGACCGTTCTTCCTCTTCCAATTCCCGGAGGAGTTCTAGTAATGGTTCCGCAAAGCATGCTTACAGTAGTTTTAACAGAAGCCACCGTGATAAGGACCGTGAGAAGGAAAAAGACAGATTAAATTTTGGAGACCATTGGGACCATGACTCTTCTGACCCTCTGGGAAACATTTTCACCAGTAGGGTTGAGAAGGATACTTTGCGACGTTCTCAGTCTATGGTGTCCAGGAAGCAGAGTGAGCCTTCGCCCCGAAGAGCTGCTATTGACTCAAAAAGTTCTAGTAACAGCAATCATCAAAATGGCAATGGTTTGCTTTCTGGGGTTGGAGTTGGTAGTCAGAAGGTTGTGTTTGATAAGGATTTCCCCTCACTTGGAACTGAAGAAAGGCCAGCTGCAACTGATATTGGAAGAGTTCCATCCCCTGGATTTAGCACAGTTGTTCAAAGCTTGCCTGTTGGTAGTTCAGCTTTAATTGGTGGGGAGGGGTGGACCTCAGCTCTGGCAGAGGTCCCTTCAACTATCATTGCGAGCAGTAACTCAGGGTCCTTTCCTGTTCAACCAACTGTTGCTACTACTTCAAGTTCTGGGGCATCAACTGCAATGTCTGGTCTTAACATGGCTGAAGCATTAGCACAAGCTCCAGCAAAAGCTCGCACTGCTCCTCAGGTAGCTGCAGTTTGATTTGTCTCGTGCCATTTTAATAATATGTGTCAGTGGCTGATCTAATGAGACATTTTCTTTTGTAGTTGTCTATCAAGACACAGAGGCTTGAAGAATTGGCAATCAAGCAATCAAGGCAATTAATTCCAGTGACACCTTCAATGCCCAAAGCTTCTGTAAGTAAATTCCACTGATGTTCGCTTCAGCTTGTTTTGATGGATATTAAGCTTTGGAATTCTAATTTGGCAGACAGTTCTTAGAATAATATTTTGTTGGTCATTTGTATTGTTCAAGATGGTTTTCTTGTTTTAGTACTTATATTGTTTACCTTGATGCTTCTCAATATATATATATAAATTTTTTTTTTTTTTTTTTTTTTTTTTTTTTGCACTTTTTACCTTACCATCGAGCATTGAGGAATTCCATTGAAAACTCAAATTGTGATGTGAGATTGAAAGCTTACCTGGTGACTTTTCCCCATGTACCTTTTCTTTGATGCTTAGCTTCAGTTCTCCAATCTGAGTGGGCCAACAATCCATATCTCAGCGTGCGTTAGTATTCAATTTCTTGAATGTTTAATTCTTTTAGACTTTTCATCCCCCTTATATCAATATGTTAGGTTAATGGTTGGGACTAAAATTACCATTGTTGACATTGAACTTCACAATCTCACTTATAGCGCAGACTGTAGAGGCATATGGAAGAGGTTAAAACTGAGTTTTGTAGGATTGATGCTCTATTTTAGATACATAACTGTTATTAGATGGACCTTTCAAGTTGCAACTTATAAATGTTTAGAGGTGTATGTCTGATAGCAATTCTGAATACATGTTTACTTGAGTTTCTATTCTTAGTCTGAACTGAAGTGATGGGGCTTTAATTTTAGGTTCATTGACAGTTGCTAGTTGAGTAGTTTAATTTGAATCTAAAACTATGCAAGTAAGTTGATGTTCTGCTTTGTTTGGTTTGGCTCCATTTCCAGAGACGTGAACAATTTATTTTATATAACTTAGATACCGTCGGTTTGGAGTACTTCAATTCTTTCTTCTGATGCTCATGTGCCCTCCCTCTGTTACTCCCTGGGACTTTTGTTTTCCTCTCTGCCTCTCTTGTCATTGGTCCATGCATGATGGGGATTTTAGGAGTAGGTGGGCATGATAGTTTGTTGCGAAACTAGTTTACAGGCTGTCTTCTGACTACTACTCTTGGAGGTTTCCTCCTTTTTTTTTCATGTTATTTTAGGTACTGAATAAAATATGACATACTTTTGTGATTTACCTTGTAAGAGACATTGATTATGTGTCAAAACAATGCAACCTTAAATTTCTGTGGTACTGTGCGCACACAATAAATGTATTTTTAAACATGTCCATATAAATTTACCAGTTTTTAGAAGCCTTTACTCTTTTGAGTTCTGGTAACAACTATCTTTTTTCTTTTCAGGTTCTCAATTCTTCTGACAAATCAAAGCCCAAAACAGCAGCCAGAACTGGGGAAACAAATGCGCCAGTTAAAGTTGGACAACAGCAGCCCTCTCAATTGCACAATCAATCTCTTCGTGGTAGTTCTGTCAAGTCTGATGCTCCAAAGACTTCTAAGTTCCTTGTTCTCACCAAAGGATGGGAAAATGGAGTCTCCTCTTCACCAAAGGATGTCACTAGCCCAACAAGTAATGCCAGCAGTAAAGCAGCAAATAGCCCACTTGCTGTTGCTCCCCCAGTTGCATCCACTCCCTTAAGGAGCCCCAACAACCAGAAGCTTTCATCTGTGGAGCGCAAGGTAGCTGCCTTGGATCTGAAATCTGGATCTACGTTGGAAAAGAGACCTTCTTTGTCTCAAGTCCAGAGCCGGAATGATTTTTTCAAACGCTTGAAGAATAAAACCTTGATGAACAGTTCAATTACTCTCCCAGATCCAGGCCCAAACATTTCATCTCCTACTAAGGAGAAATCTGGAGAAATACATAGGGAAGTATTCAGTGATCCTGCGAGCCCTCACACCATTGAAAATGGTGCTCTGGTGACTGGCAATGGTGATAGCTCTGAAGGTGTTCAGAAGTTTTCCGATACTGCCCTCAGTGCGGCTGTTTATCCGGATGAGGAAGAGGCTCGTTTTCTTCGATCCCTTGGTTGGGAGGAAAACTCTGGGGATGATGGTGGCCTTACAGAAGAAGAGATAAATGCATTTTATGACCAGGTAAAGAACTCTTGTTTGGCTTCAATGATTGCTCCAAAGATGGGACCTTCCGAGCTTAAGCTGAATTGACATATTTGAGTTTATATATTTTGTTGTTTAGTAAACTAAATAGGTGCAGTGTTTGGTATTTTGTTATCCTTTGATGTCTTAACAATTTGTTAATGCAATTCATTAACTATTTGCTCGTGCTTGTTCTTTTGTAGTACATGAAATCACGACCATCTCTAAAATGCCGAGGCATGCAGCCAAAGCTTGCTGTGGCATCTGAATCTCCTGCGACTAATTTGGGTGGGGCTCGGTCTGAATTGAGCTCAACTGACTCTGGGTCTGAAGCTTGATTTACATTTTCCCTTACACATAGATCCAAGAATTTTCAATTTTTTGATGGCAGATGGTTAGTCTCTTTTCTCTTTTGTTTTGCGAAAAAAGAAAGAAAAGAAAGAAAACTGATGAGTTTGGGTATGAAAGAAAGAGAATGGGTTTCGGTTCGAACTCTGGATCCTGCAAATAGTGCAATAAGTGTTACAGGTGCCCCAATCCTGTCTGCCTAAAATGTTTCTTTTTCGTTCGTTTAGGTTTTAAGTTTCATGGGGGGAGATAGGTTAGGGGCTATTTTCTCTGCAGTGGAAGAAGAATGAGGAATTGATATTTCGGTGTATTTGGGTCCTTTTCTTCATTTTTTTTTCCTTCCAGGAGGGTTTTCATTCTACAAGAAAAAGCTTACGATGTTTTTTGGTCAAATTTTACGGAAAAGGATAAATTAAAAAGGGGTTTATTTTTACTTCTAGTTTTTCCTGGTATGAATGTTTTTGCAGTCGTTCGTTAATATTTTCTTGTTTAAGTTCTTGTTATTGTTCGATGGCATTATTTATTTTCTTAAGTTCTTGTTATTGTTCGATGGATCTAACAACGCTGATGACGATGAACAAATAAGACCAGAAAATATCGAGTTGTAACCTTCAGGAGTGTGTCATGATCTCCAGAGCAGCGTTTGGGTGTGTTACTGTTTGCAGATGCTGAAGTAGATAAAAGGTACTTTCAGCGCTTTTTGGAGAATTGCTTTCAACAAAAGTAGAAGAATAGATAGTGTCCATGGTTGGTAATAAGTTAATAACAACCTATACAACTGAATTTGCTAAACATGGAAATGATTCTTATGTGTATTGTATTCTTTCCCAAATTGGCAAATGCTCAATTCCCAAAGCCACTGCATCATGTCACTTTTGCCTCAAAATCGTTGTATACAACGAACTATTGTCTTTCACAGCAGTTCAAGCGAGCGTAATGTTTATATATAAGAATTGTCCAACGTGAGTTTAATTTATATGAAACTATTTGTTACAACGGTGTAAGTTTTATACGTTAAATATGGGATTCGTCTTTTTCTTTCCATTTCTCTCTTTCTTGCTATTTATTGTATAGGTTTTTCACTTAGTGAGGTTAATATATTGAACTCAAGAATAAGAATTACTCTCAGATTTTTCAGCTCCCATTAGAAGTTTGATTTGTATATTATTGATACGACACTCAATTTTTCGGCGCACTGTGGGGGCCTATGGGGTAGAACAAATTGATATTGAATTTGTCATTCATGAGATTTGAATCTAAAACTTCTTATTTACAAAAAGAATGTCATTAGGTCATAGTATTAAGTAACCCTGATAAATGTTGTATCAGAAAAAGAAAAGGGTAAATAACAAAAAACTACCTCAACTATTGTTGTCATGAACTTTCATACCTTATCTTTTAAAATTGACAATGTCATATCTCATCTTACGAATTCAGTGCAATGTTAGACCTCTGTCAGTTTTTCTATTAATTTCTCAGTTAATTGCTGATATGGTTAGAGATATGACTCATTTTTTATTAAAAAATTAATTAAAAATTAAAAATTAAAAAACTAAAAAAATTAACAAATGGCCTAAGGGATCTGGCCTTCCCTTTCCTCCACCCACACCAACCTTTTTTCTTCTTCTCTTTGACAGCCACCAAACCCTTCCCCGTCCCCCCAACCTTCCTCTGTCACCCTCTTTCTCTCTTCTCTCTCTCTCTCTTCTCTTTGGGATGTAGTCTCCCTCCTCCGTCCCTCTCCCCACTCGCACTCGTCATTCCCTCACCACGACCTCCCAACCCGACCCATCCCTCCCTTGGTCCCTCCATACCCAACCTTCCTTCACCACCCCACCGCCACCTCTCTTCCTCAATCTTCACCACCACACTGAAGAAACCAAAAAAATCAAGCCCACACCCAGGTCCCACACCCAAAAAAAAAAAAAAAAAAAAAAAAACCAAACCCACACCCAAATCCCTTTCCACTCCCACACACCCATCACCCTCCTACACAAACCCAGATCCCCTTCCTCTCCTACACACCCAAACCATCAATTCCCAGAATCAAGTTTCAAAAAATAGGCGAGGTTCGAGAAGGTGCACCAAAAACTTAGGTCCCCTTCTATCCTCTCTCATTTCTCTCTTTCTCTATCTCTCCCCAAAACGCAGACTTACAAGCCATGGAATGCACAAATTCTCTCTTCCCTCACCTCATCACCTTTCTCTCTCTTCACCTCCTCCTCCTCCTCCTCCTCCTTTTCTTTTCCATTGCCACCGCCAAGCTCACGAACCCTCTCGGGCTCGCCAGGTCTAGCTTCCCATCCGTGCACGCGACGCAATTGATCAAAGCCTTCAATCTCTTCCCGAGGAAGACATCAACATCATCGATGACCCCGATTCCTTGACATGAACAGGGACCAGCTCAAGGTTGGGTGGGAGAGAAAGGGATCTAGGTTTTTGGGGAGGGGGGACACGGGTTGAGGGGTTTTTTTTGGTTTTTTGTTTTTTTTTTTATAATTTTTTAATAATTAATTCATTTTTTTAATATTAAATATTTTTTTAATAAAAAATGGGTCCCGTCTCTAGCCACGTCAGCACTTAACTGAGAAATTAACAAAAAAAACTAACGGAGGTCTGACATTGGCACAAATTCGTAAGATGACGTATGACATTGTTAATTTTAAAAGATAGGGTATGAAAGTGTCGTGACACCAATAGTTGAGGTAGTTTTTTGTAATTTACCCAAAAGAAAACTTATGTCACTTAACTACAGTCTGTTGGTATAAATGTTACGATAGCTAACAATTTGTCCTTGGATGTTGGTTATATACGTTACCTCACACATGACGCATTAATAAAAATGTACGAAGGTGTAGTCTCTTTAAGATTAACTATGTACAATTTGTACCATTGCATTTATGGTATGTAATAGTTTGGTCTGTCTTTTAAATGGACACTTTACTACCCTAAAGCTATGAATTGTGAAAATGGCCCTCCCGTAGTTAACCACTCTTTTACGTGGAACTTTGATGGACACACTTATTGCCTACATGAATGACATATTCATGTCATATAGGTTATTACTTAATCCTATCTATATCTTGAAGGTATGTTTTTACTTCTTATTTGTCATGGATATAACACCTGTTAATTTATTTGTTATCAATATTGACTTCATGAAAGCAAAACTTGTGACAACTAAGAATGGTATGTCTGTGAACACGAAAAATTCCGAAATTTCGATGTCTACAATGTCAAAATAGTAAAAGTTAACTTGATGGTTAGAGTGATGGATACAAAGTGTAAATAGCCCTTAAAGTGTATTATGTAGTGTTGGAACCAAATTCGCATATTGTGGTGAAGAGTGGAGATGCACAAATCTGTTTAGCTGCAAAACAGTAAATTATCATAAGTAGCCAAAGAATAAGGGGGTACAAGTTAGTGAGCAATATTATGAGACTCGAGCAGTAGGCAAGAGAATAAGTGTGCGATAGTTACTAGAGATGAACCTTAGAATGGTGTATTTATACCAGTCAAGGTAGAGACCTTTTAGGGTAGAGAATTCGAATTAAACTAGGAGAATCTCATAGGATATCTAGGAAGTAGATATTGCATCCTCTTATGTATGTAATGACTTGTGGTGTACACCAATCTTGAGATTGTAAGAACTCCAAGATTATAGGAAACCTGTTGATTCTTTGCTGGATTAGGTTTCCGTATCTTGCAAGATAAGCTTGACCAATCTCAGCGCAATTGTCGGACTTTGCCCACTACTTTGAAATAGGGTGATGGTGGCATCGCTGCTCCGTTTATTCAGCTGTGAAGCTGTTGAGTTCATGACCGGATTTCTTAGGCATTCACATTCTGATTTGCCTTATTTTGGCCCTAGCAATTTATGGTCCCGTAATTGCCCCTAACTATTTATCAGAAAAATAAATAGTTCCCCTTGAGGATAAGTAGTTATCCAAAGACCATGCCTTTCTGAGTAATTCAAAATACGTACAGTTTTAATTCTTCTTACACATGCAATCTTGGCTTTGTACGATCTAAGTAATTCAAAATACGGACAATTTTAATTCTTCTTACGCGTGCAATCTTGGCTTGGTAATCACGAACTTTTGACGTTCCAGATTTAGACATGCAACCTTGGAAATCGTGCACATTTAACGAGAGACAATTATTTGCGTCACTGAGTGGCCTTCGACTTTCGGACAAGCGAATCTTTAGGTGAGACTTCTTGAATTCAACTATGAGATTTCCCAACACCTCCTCTTTAAATACATCAAACTTAGCTTTACTTTTCCAAGTCCTTCCTTCTGAGTTTCAACCTTCAACATGGATTCTCCTTGTTTCTTTTATGTCTTAGCTTTCAAACCTAATCTCCACGTTAAGCCTTCGATGATTAGGATATGTAACCAAAAGGTTTGCCACATCCTTGTTCACTCTTGTCTACAAAGATAAAGTGAAATAAGGACGAGCCATAACCTTTCAATAGTTAACCTTGCTTCCCTTAATGTGTTTCATCGCCTCCATACTTTGCTCCATAAAAAAAAAAAAAAACGACATCTTTTTCACACATACGTTCAACTTGAGGAGAGCATGAAGATTCCTAAGAGGGTTCTTCTTCATTGGAGTCCTCTCAATGTTCTCTTGAAGCATCATTCTTCTTAATCGGCCCGATGACCCTCATTAGAGATGATGACCTTGGCTAAGTTAGCCTTTTTAGTATCCTTAGGAATTTTTTGCTCTAGAGTGAGGGCATATCTCCCCCAACGAATTGTACTCATTTTGCCATATTCATGGGACTTCGGTAATAAACATGTAACTTTATTCAAGTCGTTCGTCATGTTAGATAAAGTGTTTGAAACTTTTCATCTTTTGATTCCCAATCAAAGAATAATACTTTAATTCGATAAATCTTTTATAAGTAATCTAACTTTGGAGCAATGAGTAACGAAGTGAAACACGAGCAAGTTTATAGGTCTGGGATAGAGCTGGAAACCTCTAGGTAATGTTGATTCGGAAAACATCATCTCCTAATCTTGGTGTTTGTATAGATTCTCACTACGAGAATAAGAATACCACCTTACTCAGACATCGAGTCTAAGCACATGAGGAATCTTTTACTCTACACTTGCCATAATGTGTTGGTTGAATTAAAGATGAAAAGGTGAAAAAGTTTTTCTGGAATGTCATCTAGCACTTCGACTTTGATGTATCCCCTTCTGTTCAAGTATAATGTTGCTCGTTTGTTCATTCACCTTGCCCCATTTCGAGTATGAGGATTTTAACGGTAGCAGCGTGTCACTAATAAGGGGTTTTCTTCCTAGTTCGAATTGCATGTTTGTCCCTAGTGAATCTTAGATGAACGTTTGTTAGGGACTTGGTTGCTTGTATATGGGTTGGAAACACCACGAGAAAACGAATTTAAACTTAGTGGCCCATAATTAT